TGTCTGTTCCTCACATCCGCCCGGTTTGATCTGTCCAACCAGCTCTTCAATAACAAGGGCTGGGTGCAGCGTTGTTGTAGCGGCAGACATCTCCATAGCTGGAGTTTTTACGCGATCCGGCAACACCTTCAGAAGCTGCGCAACGAAACGGCCTTCATAGTCATTGGGGAAAGCGTCGTAACCAGTCAATGGATTCTGCGTTTCGTCTCTAGATTTTTGCTGATACCTCCGCTCAGCATCCACGAAACACTTTTCCAAATAAAGCTGGAATCGGCTTCCCACTGTCCCTGCAACGGTGCAAACCTGTCGCATCCAGGTACTATAAGCCATGCCCAACTCCCACGGGGTTTTGTTGCCTCCCCAGTCAAACCCAGGCATGTCCCATAACACCTTCCACTGAACCTTGCCCCCATCTTGCTTCTCAGACTTTCCCTCTAGCATGGCCGGTTCGCCACTAGATGCCCTGCTCTTTGTGGCATTGCGCCACTCTCAGGAAGCTCAGCTGCTGCATTAGGCGACATTTGAAAAACCGAAGGGGCCTTCACAGCAAGTTTCTGCACTTGCTCCTGCAACGCTGACATACGAGCATCCTGAGTCTGCTGTGCCTCAACCAATGACTGGAACTCTTGCTGCATGACCACGCGCCAATCAGGATCCTGATTGTCTCGGGTTTCCCGCAACATGTTTGCTAGATTCTCTACTGTAGCCCTCAACGCACCAAGATCCTCAGACTTGACCTCGGCCATCATCTGTCCTGCTGCGTCGCTACTTGAAGATCCTTCCAGGCGATGGACTGCATCTTCTACTTGATAAAGTCGATTCAACTCGCCATGCAAAAGACCGATGTTCTGATCTGTCTCTGCGGTATCTTGAACCAACTTGTGCACCTGTGCCGCGACAGTTTCTTGTCTTCAGGCCAAATGCGTTCTCAGTTCTTCGAACTTTCCGTCCAACGAACTCAACTTCGCCTCATGCAGTGCTTCTCTCTGGACATTTGCATCCAGACGCTGTGCAGTGCTATTGTGCTTCCCCTGCTCATCCATGATAATTCGCCTCAAGGATTGCAGATCATCTTCTTGTCGCGCGATTGTTTTCTCTACCACTTGGCTCTGAACTTGCAATGCTTCTCGTAGGGTTTCCACCTGCTGTTGTAGCGCTACAAATCCAGTATGCAAATTTATAGTAGCATCACCCAGTGCTTGTGTCTTGAACTGAACACGATCGGACAGCTCAACGATAGCGGCTCGCACATCGTCTCACACTGTCGTGTCCACCTGTATTCCTTGACGGAACTGTTCCAGAACATGTGCTGGGATATCCACTTGAGTCATCTGTCTCGGTGCGATGGGTGAGATGTTGCTTGCTGGTGGGTGGTGATGCTGGATGTTGACACGGAGTGTTGGGTAGGGTTTGGGCTCATAACCTGTTGGTTATGAGTTTGTTGATGTTGTGGTTGGGGTGATGGAGTGTTGTTTGTGACGATGGAGTAATGGGATGGAGTAGGAGATGAGGCCTGATACGTCGGATCCTGAAGACGCATACGAACACTGTGAGGCACATCGTCTAGATAATCATACGGCATTCCTACTGGGCCTCCAGGCTTTTCACCCCCCCACAACCCCCCACTACCCCGACATCCCCATGACCCTTTCACAACGATGCACAATCTTCGCTGTGCTCTTCATAGGTGCTTGAGCCACGTTCAAGTGGCCATTGGTTCACGGACACATGCCGCGTTCAAGTGGCCATTGGTTCACGAAAGCAAGTGCGTGCTGACCTTGCGCAGGGGCCATGCACTCAAACTACACACATGCTCACAAGCAACATCAGTCACCCCTTCAATTTTTGTACTTTGTTTTTTGGTTTCAGGCTTGGGCCGAACACGTCAAATGATATCCTGCACTTTCGTTGAGCGAATCTGCTTGCTCCAAGGTTACGACGTCTTCCAGGCACTGTTTGACCCAATTCTCCGCGCAAGGCCGAATGGCACGATCAGCTGGCATTTGCCTGTGATGTAAGAGCTTCGTTGGCTCATGTGCTCAGGCAGAGTTTGAACCGAAAGGGTGCCCTTCACCACGTGCAGTGCAACAAGCCCGAGGACAAAGTTGTCGAACGTTGAGACGAAAGCACTTGTAGGTGCGATTCGATGTGTGATCCAGTCGTGCCGATGAGTGCACTGGCAGTTGAGGAGCTTTCGACGCGCTTAACCGAAGCCAGAGAGAGTGTGGCAAGTGTGCAGGCACTTCTCAACCCTGCGCTTCTGAGCGACTGTTTTGCTTGCACCAGGTGTCGCTGCAGCGGAACTTACCGCGATTTCGGTTCACGCCGGCCATGTCGTTGGATGATCGACAGAAGGCGCCGGCTCAACCTCGGATCCGTCAGTGGCGCCGCCGGCGAATCGTGTCAGGTTGAGAAGGTTTTGTGCGCGGCCTTGGCTGCTCTTCCCGAGGAGTTTGCTGGCGAGTTCGCCATCCAGGCTCCCAGCCTCACGAACATAGATTTTCATGCATGTGCGAGGTACATGCCCTTGAGAGGGTCTACATCCACAAGTTCAAGGCATGTTCTCAAGACATTCAATGCAGAAGCCACCTCATCTTGGATAGTGTGATTCGCTGCTGTTCTGGAAGTTCATTGCTTTAGCAGGCCCGGCATGTCGGAGGCGGAGGAAGCAAAGCTGCAAGAGGGCAAATGGCTGTTTGAGGTCCTTGCCCGTCCTCGTTTCATCACTTACTTTGGAACCCTTGAACTTCAACCACGGCGGAGACATTGGCAATGTAGAGACGCAGCTGCTAATCTCCTGCAGCATTCGGCTTAGTCGGCGAAGTCAGCTTCATGATTGGCAGGACGGCTTAAAATACTTCGCACAAGGTGATATGTTCGACGGAGTAGCTCGAAGCACAGCATCTGAGTATGTCCGATGTTCAATGGTCGTTTGCAGGCGGTGGGACGTGGAATGTCCTCTCGCCTGAAGATGCAACTGCACTCGAGGCAGCCATGAAGAAAGCGAGAGCTGAAGCGAAGGACGCGCTTCCCGTGCGACTGGGACCCCATAAGACGGAGTATGTCGTTGATTTCATAAAGATGGAACAGCGCAATCCTGTCACGGGCAAGATCCGGGCTCTCAAGCGTGAGGGTGAGCGTGCCAAAGCGGAGCCGGCTCAAACAGCGGTGCAATCGGCTCGGCCGTGGAGGGTCGGTGAAGCTGTGGAGTGCTTCAGCACTTCGCAGGCGAAATGGTGCAAGGGTGATGTGGTGGCCGTGAAGAAGGACTGTGTGACGGTGGAGTACATAGCCAATCAAAGCAAGACCATGAAGCATTTGCCACCCGACCATGAACATCTCCGACGCCCCATCCCGGCAGCTATGCCGGCAACGGACCTAGCAGCTCCTGTGGCCAAAGCAGTGCCCATATCAACGTATCCAAAACCTGTTCCGCCGACTGCAACCCTAACCGGTGTCCCTGGCCGTGGATTCCCACAAGAGGCGCCTCAACCAACATTGGACGAGGTGCCCTTCTTGGGAGAGCGGCAGCTTGCTGACGTGCAGGACGAGAAAGTGCTGCGCTTGCGTCGTCTTGTCCGACATGGAGATTTGAGGGGTTCCCAGAGAACCCTGCTCAGGGCGAAGCTTCTCAATGTCGAGTTGGGGGACGATCTTCTAGCACAAATCAAGTCGCTAGAAGCCGAAGGTGAATTTGCCTTGTTGCTGCCTTCTTGATTGCGTCTCAGAAACGAGCGCTGCCGGGTGATGGACATGGTGGCTTTGTTAGCCCACTCTATCCCACTCTGCAACCCAAGTATTTCTTCATCTGATGCCAGTCGCTGCACTGCTCGCAGGCACCAGATGCTCCATCAATTCTCGCAACCGGAAGAGCGAGACACTGGCCACAGGCACGACGCAGCAGATCACAGCAACAGGACAGTCGCGCTACTGATGCTGATGCATACGAGCGCAGGCTCGGGGAGTGTTCCTGAGCCGCAGAGAAGATCTCGCTGCGTGGGTTAACGACGAAGATCACCTGCCATGAGCTGAGCCCACAATTTGTGCAACCTTGTCCGTTGTAAGGTTAGAAGTCGTCTGAGTCTGAGGCGACTCATGGTTCGGCGGTACGACGGCGATCTGAAGGCCCAGATGCTTGAAGACTACGCAGGGCCTGATGCCGACATTGAATCCCAGGCAGCTTTCGCCAGTGTGTATGCCGCAGAGAAGGCTTTGAACATTTTCAGGGCTTCTGTTTTGTTCGCCTGCTTCTGCCAGGCTTTGGCGCAATCCTTGTCGCAGTCCCTTGGCCATAGTTTCGCAAGAAGTGATCGCCGTTTCCCCAGTCTCCGCCGTGCCGTTTTGCTGCTCCTTTCTGCACAGAGAGGTCTCGGCTTCCTGACTACCTGTCCCAGCAACCTTGGCACGGCTTTTCGCTGGGGGCTTGTCTAGTGACCTTGTCTTTGCGACACCATCACCGGGGTCACCAAGCACGCAATAGCACGCGCTCAGGCGTGAAGGTGCGAGTGACGCTTCCTCTGCTCGGGCGGAACGAAGGCTTTTCTGATCTGGCACGTGCCCTTGGTGTGCAGGCCGGAGCGATCATGCAGGGAGCAGGCGAAGAGGCAGACCTGACTGCAGGCCAAGAGGGTGGTCCGGCCAACTTTCGATGGAAACTGGGACATCTCGAATGCGGCGCAGCTCAGCGTCTCGGAAGTAGAGCAGGCAATTCGGGGGAGCTGGGTGTGGGTGCAGAAGAATTCTCTGTGTCTGTGTGTGTGGAGGCCAACAGCTTGATTGCTGCCGTGCGAAAGATGCATGACTTGGAGCTGCAGCTGAAGTCGGGGCAAGTCCTGGATTTAGCGACGGAGGCGCGTAACGGGGCTCCCTCTTGCTTTGTGGTCTTTGAGGGCCTCGAGGTAGAGATAGCGGCCGTTCAATTGCCCGATAGCAGCTTTCCATCCTGTTCATATAAGTCTGTGAAAGGCTACACATAAGCCCGCTCACCCATGCAAGAGTAGCTTGCACGAAGCTCGCAATGTATACACACAAGACGACAACAACAAAGACACAGCCAGCAGTGGGCACCAACTACTTGTACGAATTTGGCGTCGTAAGAACGTTGACAATGGAACCCGTGCAGGAATCAGCATCTATTTGGGGGTTTGTTGTGCAACACATGTAGGGGCAAGTTCGTCGAACGACGCCTATGCCGCAACTACTGCAGGCGTTGCGTCGCCCGACGTTTTTCAGCTTCTTTCAACACCCATTTCGACGCCATGTCGTCGTACACCTCGTCGGAGATCGCCGCGGCCATCGCGATCCTGGAGGATGCAATCGATGCCGGCGTCGACCTTGCCCTTCACCTTGGGCAGTGGTTGTGCCCCCATCGTCGGACGCTGGCGATGGCTATGGGAGGTGCAGTAAGCGGCATGGGCTGACGCCAAGGCCAAGGCAGCCGGGGGGCGCCCGTCCGAGCCCCCATCGTCAAGCCGCCACCGGAGGTTCTCCAAGAGAATTGCGCTATGTCGTCGGCTACCTCGACGGCATCCACAGTCCAGCCGGCTCCTGAAGATCGCGCGTCGACCGGCACAAGAGGACATGGCATGGCTGGGACCGGCGTGGGCAAGTCGCACGCAAGTCGCCCCCGCCCGCGATTTGGCACCAGACCGGCTTCATCCCAATTGAAGCCCAGCGCCTTCGCTATGCCACCTGGACCGCATTCTATGCGTGGTCGTGGTGACATACCGGTGGCGCCGAAGCCTGCGAGCTTCTCGCCACCGCCGAAGAGGCGTCGGCCACGACCGCCGGCGGCTTGGACGGCTACTTCAAAAGGCCTGCATCGCTGGCGAAATCCAGGCAGCTCGGGCCACATCCGCTTCCATGGAAAGGAGCCCGGCCAATCCCAGGGCACCTCGTCGGCTGGTGTGGGCGCCCCGTCGGCCCGTGCCTTCCCGTCGTTGTTCGTCGGGGCGATCGGGGCTGCCCTCGGCGACCTGGGGCGCCACGACTGTGTGGACGAGGGCATCCTCTAGTCGTCGCCTTCGTCGTCGACGCCTGCAGTTTTAATTCGGTTTTTAATTTTTCGGCGGATGCTCTCGCGAGCTTCTCCGCCCCCATCAGGTGACGAGATGCGTCGGGCCGTATGTGCCGACATGTCTCACCAAGCAGTTGACACCGCACTGTGGAAGGAAAAGACCGGCGAGACATTGGACAGACATGTTGTTCGTCGTCGTCGCTCCTCTCCTGTTGGTATTTCTCCCGTTATTTTTACTAAAGGTATGACGCAGGTGGCTCGAGGAGACCGGTTTCCTGACACCCCGACAGACGATGCTGGTGGTCAACCTTCATGGCCGCGTCGGCTTCTCGCGCTTGGCCATCGTCGAGATTGGTGCGAAGGAGCTCCTGCCGACCCTGCCCACCATCCGGGCTCGTGTTGTCGACTCGGCCCTTGCTATAAGGCGTCTGCGTTGGTCCAAGCCGGCCAGCTTGAAAAGCTGGCGGCATGGAGCCCGCTAACGGGCACCATGAGCCGTCGGCAATGGCACTGGTACCGGCAACTCCCACAGATCGGGAGCTCGCGACGGTGGCTCGGCCATCACGGCGGAGGCTAGCGTCCTTTCGTCACGATGCTCTGTGGCGAGCTGGTGGAGCCGCTGCTGCGATGGGCCATGTCGGCGGTTGTGCTGTTGCACACAGCAGCAGCGGCGGTCGTTTCACCGCCGGAGCACTACATCTACAACGCTCAACGCCAAGGCGAAGAAGGTGTACGCCGCGGACCCGGTCGAGTCCACGGCGGACCGTTTGTTTGGGAAGGCCAAAGGCTGCAGTTGGCCGTACGGCGTCCGTGCCTTTCACCGGATCACCGATAGACGGTCGGAGGCCTTAGATGCTTTTGGACGGGCGGCATTCGTCTGGGCGGCTGCGGCTGCCTTGCGGTCGAAGACGAGAACGGCAGGCCGGCACCGAATTCGACAGAAACCCGCGAGGGCCAGATGGGCGGCCAGCGGCCGGCGTTTCGCCCCCTACGCAGGCTTCATCGGGCAGTGAGGCCAGTGAACTGAATCCGTTCGGACTGGTGACTACAGATGGGTTGACGACGTTGTTACAGCCGGCCCAGTCCAAATGCAGAAAGTATCAACAGGCAGGTTTTGGATGAACCGTTTTTTGCACCTGTGCCAGTTTCCTCCGGATCAGACGAAGAGAAGCTGCTCGAACATGCGGCCACATGGGACATGGGACCGGTCGTTTCCTGCATCTTGGGACCAGTGTCGGCTGACGAGAAGAGAAAAAGGGCATCATGTTGGGTTGAGGGGGGGCTGAAGGTTTTAGATGCCCCAGTTCTATTTCTTAATCAGTGTGCGGAGTTTCGGATGGCCCGAAGAACGGGCGTCATGCTGTTTGAGGGGTGGTTGAAGGTTGAAGGGTTTAGCTTCTTTCTGTTTCATGTCTTCAGCTTTAAAATTAAGCTTATGTATTCCGTTCTTAGCCGCCATGCAGCAGGTTTTTATTATCAGCAGGACGTTTGTTTTGTCGAAAGGCACATAAACAAGAGTGTTTATGAGTTTGGCAAACATGAGCAACACAAGGGTGCGGCTCCTTTTTGTGATGTAGGTACGAACGGAGGGCTGACAGGCACGAAAATAATCACTTGATGTCTATGTTTGAGACGCTGTCGAAAACAAGTCGTTAATCACCCTCTGCAGCGACGTTTTGTAGTGTGTCGAACGAAAATATGCAAGAAACAACACAGCAGCTAGAAGTATGCAATGCATACCCATTGAGGGGAAATACCATTGCTTGCGATGACCTGGTTTTGTTTCGTGTAGAGTTTCAACAGGTCCGAAAAATCGGATTTTCCGAACTTTGAGTTTGCTGCATGCGTGCAAAATCGACACCACAGATGTATGATTTTTTCGATTGCTTGGACAAAAGTAGCTCTCAGGCTTTTTTCGCCAAGCTTCAGGTCGAATTTGGGCCCAGAAGCTCTGGGGTTTCTGAAGCCCGGTGGTTTTCCAGACCACCACAAGAGCCGGTACAGCCCTGCTCCGGCGAAGCCGATGGACCCGGCACGATGCGCTTCATACCATGCAAAAAGAAGGGCCTGTCCATCGTACCATTTTGGAATGCCCGCCTGGTGTCAACTTTGTCCACTGTCCACGAGTTACCTTCGCACGGTCGTTTCGAATGCATTCGGATGCCAAGACGAATGCATGTACCGGAAGGAGCAGTCGGTTTGGTACGCTGAAAGTAAAACGATGTTCGTGCGTTGTGGGCAGAAGGGCTACGCGAGACCCTGACTGCGAGCGGTTCCCACGGAAGGAAACATTTCGCAGCATTCGGCTTTTCACCGCATTTTCAGCTGAAATGTTGGGTTGTGCCAGGCGGAGAACTTCCGCTTGTCGATGCTGAAGGCCGGGACCGGGATGTGCCAACAGGCTCTAGACCCACAAAGCTGTCGCAGAGGCTCCCGAGGACACCTCCGGACTCGGAGCTGCAGAGGAGAACTTCTCATAGTCATCCGGGATGCTGGCACGGCAATGTCACAATGCGCACAGGTTCCCGGCTTTCCAGCCCATGAATGTCCGGAGGTGCCCCATTTCAACACGTGCGACTGTGGCTGTGTGTTTATTCACATCCCTGGCCACAGAGGAGCTTCCAGACCTCTCAGGCTGGACGTCAGTGAAAAATCATCACACCTGCTGTCATCTGCTTCTCAGGCTTCAACAGCATCGTGGCTGACTTGCTCAAGCGAGATCCAGAACTGTATGGCAGGCCAGAAGGATTGTTGCTACACCTCTCAGCCTCTCTGTTGCGTCAGGCTTCGCACAATGAAAACCAGCAAAGGAGTGTCACTTGCTCGCTGCATTAAGCCGGCTGCTCAGGCTCCTCTCTGCAGTTGCCTTCCCCCCATGTTCTACGCACGGAGCTGTGAAGTCATGGAACGGAAAGCATTGCTGTACTTTGCAGCATACAAACACTTGATGGCAGTTAAGGTTGCCCAGGAATGAACCGATCAACACTGCTCTTCACAAACACACACAGACACACATGTATCATTCCTGAGTTGCATGGTCGCAGACGTCGAAAGCGGGTTCTGTCAGCAAGCCAGTCATGGCCTGCATGCAAAGGGACATGTGAACGGATGTGCGATGGGCTTCTCCGTTTTGGAGCTAGCTCTGTTTTCAAGCTTCTTGAAACGAGCGCCCAAGCCCCTGAGGGGCTTCCCAAGAAGAGCTCCTAGTAATTTCAAGAAGCGCTTCTGGGTAGCTTATTTGGGAACAGGAATTCTAGAATAGAAGCCCATGTTGGATCTTCTGCACATATATATATATATGTATATATGTTTTCATTTAAATGTATATATATATATATCTGTATATATCTGCTTATATCTGTATCTGTATATATGCATACAGATTTGCACACAGCGACAGCGCCGCTTAAGACACAGTTTCTTCGCGAGGGTACCCTCAACTTCTGAATTTTGCCGGGCGTTTTTTGTGATAAAACAAATCGTTTCCGGATTGGAGGTTACCCTGCAATTCTTAACCCAGATTTCTTAATTTGAAAAAGGCTCTGAAGCTAGCCCATCAGAATCCCCAAAATAAGGCACTGTGGGCATCGAGCCCACAGACATTTCCGAATCGAGTCATGCGCCTGTCCGCTTAGGCATGGCATCCCTTGCGCCTGCGTTTAGCCATACTCCTTTATGTTAGAGCTTGCATTTATCCAGCCCTTACCAGAACACCCGCAAAATAAGACATTGAGCCCTTCGATTTTGAGGAGTTGTAATGACAGCTTTGCAGGGCTCTAACAGAGCCCTAATCAGGTTTCAATATGGCTTTGTTATACAAGAAGCAAATCACCAAAATAGGAAATTGATTGGCTCGATTTCTTAACTTTTCTTTAAGAAATTGATGCGTTCAATTTCTTGTTTTTGTGGGTTCTTGGCGTGTCCAATGAGGGCTTAATGAGGGCTAAATCAAGGCCTTAATAACAGCTTCGGAGGGCATTAGAGGCTTGACAGTAAGGGCTGAATAAGGGCCTACTGTAGTGAGGCTTTGTCATACAAGAAGAACTACCAAAATAAGAAACTGGCCATTCTCGGTAGCCGGTAGCATTCACATCGCGCCGAACATTGTGCGAGTCGCTTCGTGTGTTGTGCACAGACCCATGGTGCTCTGATGCAGACGTGACATCATAGTAGTGCATCATGTTGTAAGTTGAGGCTTACACATGTTGCTTGATGAAGACAGGGGTCAGCATAAATAAGTGTATTAGATATAGATATAGACATAGACATAGAGATAGAAGAATGTAGATATTGATATGTACATGGATACGGATACAGATATAGATCTTGCGCTAGATCTAGATGTAGGTATAGGCACGAAAAATGACGTATACATATATGTATATATATATATATGTATACATAACATTTGGCCCCGGGGACTAGTGTGCTTGGTTGCTGGGGGATGGCCTGGGAAGAGTGCGGACCCCCAGGGCGGCACTAAGAGCTTCTGCTCGATGAGCACCCCTCTCCCCGCCCCCAGTGCGCACTAGTGCGACAGTGCCGTTAGTCGCGAACTCGCCGTCGACCTTGTTCATTCGAAGCTTGTTGGCTTTCGGGGTTTCCATCCCCCGGGCTTGGCGGGTGCCTTCCCGCCTGCTGTTGTGACGACCTCTTCGTGGCGAAGCTTGTTGGCGGGGTATCCATCCCCCGGACTTGGCGGGTGCCTACCCGCATGCTGCTGTAAGGACCTCTTCGTGGCGAAGGCTGTTGGCGGGGTTTCCATCTCCCGGGCTTCTTCGTGGCGAAGCTTGTTGGCGGGGTATCCGTATCCATCCCCCGGGCTTGGCGGGT